GGGAGTTTGGTGGGTCGAGGACCTCACTCCTTCTCACACATTCCTCAGCCTCTCCACTTCCTCCTTCAGCTCTGCCACCATGCTTAGCAGCTCATCAACCTGCTCACACCGCGGTTAGAGGGAAAGGCTCAGGCACTCGCTGCAGCCGGAGACCTGGACAGCTGCATCCCTGAGCGGGAGCCCCGTCTGGGTTGCCACGTTTGTCCTAGCAGTGGTTTTCCTCCGGGTGACCACCATGGCTGAGTCCTGCCCGCTTGCCCTGCCTGTGCGAACTGACATGCCACGCTCTGTTTGCCCACTCTGTTCGCCGCGGTCCCTGGGCGCAGTTCAAATCCCTCGCGGTTGCTCCTGGCACAGCCCCTGAGTGACGTCAGTTGCTCTCGCAGGGGCTGCTGGTACCACGCGGGCTGCCCAGCTACTTCTCTGTTCCCTGGAAAACCGCTCTGATCGCTTCAATCGAGTGCCGATCCACGGCAGGAGCTGCTGCCACCACCGAGTCCTGCGCTGACTAATTAATATCTCTCCTCTGTAGCAGCGTGGACTACGTCCACAGTTGTGAGGCTGAAGGTACCACACAGGGGCCAAGGAGGAGGGCTGTGTCACAGGGGGAAGGACAGAGCCTGGTTTCTGTTATGCAGCTGGAGGGCTAAAACTCAGGCAGCCCAACACATGCAGCAGTGCTTGCCAGGCCAGAGCGCCCTGCTGAGCACAGTGTCCTTGTGGCCTTGAACTGGCCTGGCATGAGGTTCACCAAAAGCATCCCTGCTCTTGGCTTGCTGGTCTGTATCCCTCCTTCTTCACAGTCTGCCAGCTGGGTTCTGGTGGCTCCTGTCCTTTGGCACCACTCACTGCCCCGCAGGAATGGGCAGCTTGACCAGGAGGGTCAGACAGGATTTCCTGGATGAGGTGGGCCAAGCTGGCAGCTTAACACCCTTAAAAAGGGGGGTTGCAGGGATGGCACACAGCCGGGCTGCAGGATAGCAGCCCCTTGAACTGCCCAGTGCGTTCTCTGGGCTGGAAGCTTTCCTCCACTCCATGGAGATGCCATGGAGCCAGCAGAGCCCTGCAGTAGGGCTGCAGGACTCATGGCTGGGACAGGGGCTCATGGCTGACCAGTGCTGTGTCACTTGCAGCTGGCAGGACTACCACCAGTGAGGAGCTGGAGGACATGCTGGAGAGCGGCAACCCGGCCATCTTCTCCTCCGGGGTAAGTACCGGCAGAGGATAAAACTGAGTGAGCCCACTCATCCCAGGGGGATTGGCTGGTGGATGTGCTGCCACAGTGGCCCCAATACAGGACTGATGAGCACAGCCCATGCAGGTGGTGGGACCTGGGTGCTCAGATCTGACCTCACGATGTTGCCCAAGCCAGGAGGCTGTGACCTGGCTGCAGATTGCGTGACTGGAGTGGCTCTGGGGCACCTGTTCTTCCCTGTCTTGGTGCCCCTAATTCTAGCATCTGGGGGGCTGAGCATGGTGCTCAGAGGCCCTGTCTTTTTGCAGATCATTATGGATTCAAACATCACCAAGCAAGCACTGAATGAGATTGAGACACGGCACAGTGAGATCATCAAACTGGAGAACAGCATCCGAGAGCTGCATGACATGTTCATGGACATGGCCATGCTAGTGGAGAGCCAGGTAGGGAGATGCTGCAGCCCGTTAGCTGGCTCACCTGGGGAGGTTGGAGGGTGATGGGGCTGCCAGTGGTCCCCTGCCTGCGTGGGTGCTGAGGGAAAAATCTGCATCTGACATAGCTCCCACTGGGCTCCCCGGGGGCAGAGCTACCTGCCCTGCATCCCAGAGCAGGGGCTGCTGTGTGCTGAGGGCAAGAGGTTCAGTGATGGGCTCTGGAGGAGGGCAGTGGGTGGATGCCATGCAGGCAGAGATTCCTCCATCGCCCCTGGTGCACCAGGACCTGCGGGGTGAGCTCGGAGTGCTGCCAGCCTCAGTGGTCCTGCAAGGCTGACCCTGGCGGTGCTGGCAGCCTGCCATGCCTGGCCTTTCAGCCGGGCATGTGGGCTGGTGTCTCTACTCCCCCCCCCTTCTTGCCTGCCATGCTGCCATGGCCCGAGGAGACATCAGTGTCAGGTAAAGCCTCACCAAGCCCCCACCGGTGCTGCATGCTTTGCTCTGCATGGCTGCCCTCTGCATGTCTGTGGCTCTTGTGTGGTGCTAGGGGAGCCTGTGGCAGGCGGGCGAGGATGGCTGTGGCACAGTAGTGTTGATGCTCTGTCCTATCTCTCTTGGGGTAGGATATGGGGGACCTGCAGTTCCCTGTCCCTCTCTAAGGGCCAGATCGTGCCAGCACCCTGTGTTGCCCTGTGGGGTGGGAGGCTCCGAGCTGCTGGCACCAGGTGCAAAGGGGTGCTGATCTGGCAGCAGAGCTGGCAGCTGCCTGCTTTGGCCCAGGCAAGGCACAGGTGGGAAGGAGAAGCAACAGCTTTAGGCAAGGCAGGGAGCAGCACGAAGCCTGGCTGGAGTCAGTGGTTGGAGAGGGAGCACCAGAGCACCCAAGGGCTTGCAAAGGCTCATCCTCCTTGTGCTCTCTGTCTCCAGCTGCTGCAGGACCTGGCTGCTTCCCTGTGCAGTCAGGATGGAGACAAAAGTGGTGGACAGGCTGGGGGAGCTCGTGCCAGTCTGTGCCCTGACGAGTGAGGAAGTCCATACCCCCAGCCTACCCTGCAACCAGGGGGCAGAGCAGGACAGGAGTCCCTGCATGGCCTGGCGTTCTCGCCTCGCCAGCCTCACTCAGGCCCTCTGCTCTCAACGGGGCACGTGTGCGGATCAGAGCGGTTGTCCCTGCACGTGCATGGTTTCATGAGCATCCCACGTGGTGCTGTTGGTGCAGTCCTTGCTCCCTCACCAAGCCTTCGGTTTCAGCAGCGTGCAGCGTGGTGGTAATGTAGATACTGTTGTGGCTTTGATGTCACCAGAGATACCAGACAGGGTGGCCACCAGGCCAAGACTGGGCTGGGGAGCCCCCTTGACCCTCACCTTTGCTTGCCTCCCTGCTGGGAGGTGCATGGAGATCCCACCCCACTGCCTGCAGGCAACAAATGGTCCCTCTCTCTCCTGTGCAGGGCTGCTGAGCAGGGTGACATCCACACAGCGCTGGGGAGCTGCAGAGCAGGAAGGAGCTCATGGCTACACACACGTGGGTGTGTGGGCTCTGTCCACACTCTGCAGGGTGAGATGATCGACCGCATAGAGTACAATGTGGAACACTCAGTGGACTATGTGGAGCGGGCTGTGTCTGACACCAAAAAAGCAGTGAAGTACCAGAGCAAAGCCAGACGGGTGAGTCATGGCACTGGCTGGGGCCTGTCTTCCCCTACCTACACTTCTGACACCTCCCAGGGGCAGACCCCTGCCCTGACTGCCCCACTGACTGCACAGAGGTGGGGGCAGGTGCCTGGGCACTGGTTTACCCCACACCGCTGGGTGCAGCGCAGGTCCTGCTGGTGGCATCAGCTGAGGCAGACCCCCCCAGCACAGGCTGCATGAGTGCTGGTGATGAGTTGTGGGGCGGGATGCTGCTTGGTGGGAGGAAAACGGACAGGGTGGATCCCACGTACCAGGCCTGCTCTTTTTCAGCCCCCTGCTGAAAAAAGTAAGAGAAAAGGCATACTCAGATGTAGCGCCAGCTGCCTGTCCCAGTCCCCACACCTGGTTCCATATCAATTTGGCAGCACCAGGACCCGGGGGCCACCAGCTCATCTCTGCCCAGGGCTGAAGGGGAAGCTGGGGTGCCCATCCCTGCTCCAGGGCTGCTGTCTGGCTACCATGGCGCTGCTCGGAGCCCACCCTGGGCAAAAAAAAAGAAGCCGATCGCGGCCCCCCAGGTCTCAGTCAGCCTGCCCCCAACACTCATGGTCCCTCTCTCCCCTCTCTCCTTGCCGGTGCTGGGACACCTGAGCAGAAGAAGATCATGATCATAATCTGCTGCGTGATCCTGGGTATCGTCATTGCCTCCACCTTTGGCGGCATTTTCGGCTAGACTCTTCCACGGGACTGTTTGTGTGCGATGGACGGAGCCACGTGTGCCATGGGGCCGCAGCTGCGCCAGAGCGAACCACGCAGCCCTGGAGCCTCCCAGCAGCATTTCAGTTTCTAATGCATGGTTGTTTGTGATGCTGTGTGTGCGGTGCGTCTGTGTGGAGCGAGCGCCGGCCCTGGGGCGCAGGCAGGATGCAGGAGACGGTGATGGGTGCAAGGGGGAACCCTTATGGGTGGAACCCAAGCCTTCATCACTGCTCCAGCCTGGGTGGCTGGCTGGGACCAGGTGGAGACAGAGATACCCTTGGGCACTGCTGCTTCTCCTGTGCTGGGCAGTCTGTGTTAGTGACAGCTGAGGATAAGGAAAGACCAAGAAAGGGTGTTACAGTTCCTCAGGAGCGCAGCGCTCAGTCAACCTCCCCCAGCTTCCCCATCTCCTCCAGCCAAAGCTCTTGTGTCTGTCAGCCACATCTGTGCTTGCAAACACCCTTCCTTGGGCTGCTTCACGGGCCCCTTCCCCAGGGTTGCACTCTGCCAGGGCCTGCCTCTCCCCAGTCCTGTGGCTGTGCCTGGCTGCTGCTCTGCCGATGGCAAGCCTACCCCCACCCCATCCCCCCACAAGCCCTCACCCCAGTGCAGGTGTCAGGGGCTGGACATGCAGCTGCTGGCAGCAGATGCCTGATGGAGCAGTTTGGGATGAGGAGCTGCTGCTTGGGGCCATCACAGTTGCTTTGGGATGGGGACGGGTCATATGCGGACCTGTGCTGCACCCTGGTGCTGGCCTGGCAGGGCACGAGGGCACAGGTACGTTAAGGCCAGCATGTTTCACTGGCCACTTGCCCTGCATCAAAGCCTCATCATTCTGTTCTCAGCCTTGGCACCTAGTGACCCTGGCTCCTGCTGCCCCCAGACCTGGGCTCTGGCTGTCAGGGTTTGGGGCTGGCCCTAACACCCACAGCCCCTGGCAGTACTTTCCTGGGAGCAGGACTGCTTCCAGCCTCATTTCACACAGGCACCCATGGCTGGAGGTTGGAGGCAGTTGGGCTTTTTCCTGTCATGGTCCCAGAAGCAGCTCTTGTTGCACCCACCTCCCCCATAAGCTAGGACCAGCAGCCTTCCTCCTCCATCCTGCCCAGCTCCTCAGCAGGGCAGTGCCCGACTGCCCCTTCCACCTCTTTGCCACCTCTTGGCATCTGCCTGCTCATCACCTGGGCCACTGAGACACCCACACTCAGTGGGGTGTTGTGGGAGCACCTGGGTGCCCTCCGCTACTCCCACTACATGGATGCAGTCACTGTGGGGTGGCCTGAGCCTGCTGGCAGCTCTGAGCAGCCCTGTGTTGCCACTGTCCGTTTTCCCTGGGCTGGGGGCAGGGCTCTGCCCTCAAATTCTTTCAGAGACTCCAGAGTTCCAGCTGGCCCATGCAGGTGCCAGAGCACCACAGAGGAGCCCAGGGCAGGGTAGACACCTGGGGCCAAGCTCACCGCCACACACTGGGACGGGGGCTAGACATGAGCCCAGCTGCCAGCAGCAGTAAAAGGGGCACTTGATGGCATCAAATACTCCAGCTGCAGCCAGCGTGTCACCTTCCTGCTCCAACCAGGGCAAGGGCAGGACAGCTCTGCCCCTGTGTCCTCCACCCTAGCTGGGTGCTCTAGCACAGGCACTGGCCCTGCGTCTGGCCATGGGTGTGGGGCAAAAGGCAGTGGGCTGCAGCCGAGACATGGTGCTGCCTTCCGCAGGTGCAGCCCTGCCCAGCTGCACCCCGGCCACAGCT